AAATGAACAACTGGCTCTTTAATGTTGACTAGATAAACAATGAAATGACGGCAGAAATAAAAATGTTCTTTGAAACCAATGAGAATGAAGACACAACGTACCAGAATCTCTGGGACACATTTAAAGCAGTGTCTAGAGGGAAATTTATAACAATAAATGCCCACATGAGATGCTAGGAAAGATCTAAAATCGACATCCTATAGTCAAAATTGAAGCAGCCAGAGGAACGAGATAAAAAAAACTCAAAAGTAGCAGAAGATAAGAAATAAGTAAGATCAGGGCAGAACTGAAGGAGATAGAGACACAAAAAACTTGTCAAAAATTAACAAATCCAGGAGTTGGTGTTTTTTAATTTTTCTTTTTTTAAAATTAATTTTTTTTATTGCATTTTAGGTTTTGGGGTACATGTGAGGAACATGCAAGATTGTTGCACAGATACACTCGTGGAAGTGTGATGGTGTTCTGAAAAGATCAACAAAATAGACAGACCACTACCCAGAATAATAAAAAAGAAAAGGGAGAAGAATCAAATAGATGCAATAAAAAATAATAAAGGGGATATCACCACCAATTCCACAGAAATACTAACTACCATCAGAGATTACTACAAGCAACTCTACACATATAAACCAGTAAACCTGGAAGAAATGGATAAATTCCTGGACACTTGCATCCTCCCAAGTCTAAACCAGGAAGAAGTCGAAACCCTGAATAGACCAATAAGAAGGGCTGAAGTTGAGGCAACAATTAATAGCCTACCAATCAAAAAAAGTCCAGGTCCAAATGGTTTCACAGCCGAATTCTACCAGATGTTCAAAAATAAGCTGGTATCACTCCTTCTGAAACTATTCCAAACAATGCAAAAAGAGGAAATCCTTCCTAAATCATTTTATGAGACAAACATCCTGATACCAAAACCTGGCAGAGACTCAACAAGAAAAGAAAACTTGAGGCCAATATCCATGATGAACATAGATGCAAAAATCTTCAATAAAATACAGGCAAACCGATTGCAACAGCACATCAAAAAGCTTATCCATAATGATCAAGTAGGCTTCATCCTGAGGAAGCAAGGCTGGTTTAACATACGTGAGTCTATAAACGTAATCCACCACATAAACAGAACCAAAGAAAAAAACCACATGATTATCTCAATAGATGCAGAGAAGGCCTTCAACAAAATTCAACAGCGTTTTATGCTAAAAACTCTCAATAAACTAGGAATCAATGTAATATATCTCAAAATAATAAAAGCTATTTATGACAAACCCACAGCAATATCATACTGAATGGGCAAAAATTGGAAGCATTCCCTTTGAAATCTGGCACTAGGCAAGGATGCCCTCTCTCACTACTCCTATTCAATATAGTATTGGAAGTTCTAGCTAGACCAATCAGGCAAGAGAAAGAAATAAAGGGTATTCAATTAGGAAAGGAGGAAGTCAAATTGTCTCTATTTGCAGACAACATGATTGTATATTTAGAAGACCTCATTGTCCATCTTAGCCCAAAATCTCCTGAAACTGATGTGACTTCAGCAAAGCAAGCAATGTGCAGAAATCACAAACATTCCTATAGACCAGTAACAGACTTAAAGAGAGCCAAATCAAGAACGAACTGCCATTCACAATTGCTACAAAGAGAATAAAATACCTAGGAATACAACTAACAAAGGATGAAAAGGACCTCTTCAAGGAGAACTACAAACCACTGCTCATCGAAATAAGAGAGGACACAAACAGATGGAGAAACATTCCATGCTCATGGTTAGGAAGAATCAACATTGTGAAAATGGCCATACTGCCCAAAGTAATTTATAGATTCAATGCTATCCCCATCAAGCTACCAATGACCTTCTTCACAGAACTGGAAAAAGCCACTTCAAACTTCAGATGGAACCAAAAGAGCCCACATAGCCAAGTGAATTTTTTTTTTTAATTGCATTTTATGTTTTGGGGTACATGTGAAGAACATGCAAGATTATTGCATAGGTACACACATGGCAGTGTGATTTGCTGCCTTCCTCCCCTTAACCTATATATCTGACATGTCTCCCCATGCTATCTCTCCCCACCTTCCCACCCCTCGTCCCTCCCCCATTTCCCTCCAACAGACCCCAGTGTGTAGTGCTCCCCTCCCTGTGTCCATGTGTTCTCATTGTTCAACACCTGCCTATAAGTGAGAACATGTAGTGTTTGATTTTCTGTTCTTGTGTCAGTTTGCTGAGAATGATGGTTTCCAGGTTCATCCATGTCCCTACAAAGGACATGAACTCATCGTTTTTGATGGCTGCATAATATTCCATGGTGTATATGTGCCACATTTTCCCTGTCCAGTCTATCATCGATGGGCATTTGGGTTGGTGCCAGGTCTTTGCTATTGTAAACAGTGCTGCTCTGAACATTTGTGTGCATGTGTCCTTATAGTAGAATGATTTATAATCCTTTGGATATATACCCAGTAATGGGATTGCTGGGTCAAATGGAATTTCTATTTCTAGGTCCTTAAGGAATCAACACACTGTCTTCCACAATGGTTGAACTAATTTACACTCCCACCAACAGTGTAAAAGTGTTCCTATTTCTCCACATCCTCTCCAGCATCTGTTGTCTCCAGATTTTTTAATGATTGCCATTTGAACTGGCATGAGATGGTATCCCAGAGTAGTTTTGATTTGCATTTCTCTAATGACCAGTGATGTTGAGCATTTTTTCAGGTTTGTTGGCCTCTTGTATGTCTTCTTTTGTAAAGTGTCTGTTCATATCCTTCGCCCACTTTTGAATGGGCTTGTTTGTTTTTTTCTTGTAGATCTGTTTTAGTTCTTTGTAAATTCTGGATATCAGCCCCTTGTCAGATGGGTAGACTGCAAAAATTTTTTCCCATTCTGTTGGTTGCTGATTCACTCTAATGACTGTTTCTTTTGCCGTGCAGAAGCTGTCGAGTTTGATTAGGTCCCATTTGTCTATTTTGGCTTTTGTTGCCAATGCTTTTGGTATTTTGGTCATGAAGTCCTTGCCTACGGCTATGTCCTGAATGGTTTTGCCTAGATTTTCTTCTAGGGTTTTTATGGTGTTAGGTCTTATGTTTAAGTCTTTAATCCGTCTGGAGTTAATTTTAGTGTAAGGTGTCAGGAAGGGGTCCAGTTTCTGCTTTCTGTTCATGGCTAGCCAGTTTTCCCAACACCATTTATTAAACAGGGAATCCTTTCCCCATTGCTTGTTTTTGTCAGGTTTGTCAAAAATCGGATGGTTGTAGATATGTTGTGTTTCCTCCAAGGCCTCTGTTCTGTTCCATTGGTCTCTATCTTTGTTTTGGTACCAGTACCATGCTGTTTTGATTACTGTAGCCTTGTAGTATAGTTTGAAGTCCGGTAGTGTGATACCTCCAGCTTTATTCTTTTTGCTTAGAATTGACTTTAGCCAAGTGAATTCTAAGCAAAAAGAATAAAGCTGGAGGTATCATGCAACCTGACTTCAAACTATACTACAAGGCTACAGCAATCAAACATGGTACTGGTACCAAAACAGAGATAATAGACCAATGGAACAGAACAGGGGCCTCAGAAGTAACACCACACATCTACAGCCATCCGATCTTTGACAAACCTGACAAAAACAAGCAATGGGGAAAGAATTCCCTGTTCAATAAATTGTTTTGGGAAAACTGGCTAGCCATGTGCAGAAAGCAGAAACTGGACCCCTTTTTGACATCTGACACTAAAATTAACTTCAGATGTATTAAAGACTTAAATATAAGACCCAACACCATAAAAACCCTAGAAGAAAACCTAAGCAAAACCATTCAGTACATAGGTATAGGCAAGGACTTCATGGCTAAAACACCAAAAGCAATGGCAACAAAAGCCAAAATAGACAGATGGGATCTAATTAAACTGCAGAGGTTCTGCAGAGCAAAGAGACAATCATTACAGTGAACTGGCAGCCAACAGAATGGGAAAAAAAAATTGCCATCTACCCATCTGACAAAGGGCTGATACCTGGAATCTACAAAGAACTAAAACAGATATACAAGAAACAAACAAACAAACTCATTCAAAAGTGGGTGAAGGATATGAACAGACACTTTTCAAAAGAAGACATAGATGATGCCAACAAACATATGAAAAAATGCTCATCATCACTGGTTATTAGAGAAATGCAAATCAAAACCACATTGAGATACCATCTCACATCATTTAGAATGGCGATCATTAAAAAATCTGAAGACAACAGATGCTGGAATGGATGTGGAGAAATAGGTACACTTTTACACTGTTGGTGGGAGTGTAAATTAATTCAACCATTGTGGAAGACAGTATGGTGATTCCTCAAGGACCTAGAAATAGAAATTCCATTTGATCCAGCAATCCCATTACGGATATATATCCAAAGGATTATAAATCGTTTTATCATAAGGACACATGCACAGACATATTCACTATGGCATTGTTTAAAATAGCAAAGACCTGGCACCAACCCAAATGCCCATCGATGATAGACTGGACAGGGAAAATGTGGCACATATATACCATGGAATACTATGCAGCCATAAAAAACAATGAGTTCTTGTCCTTTGTAGGGACATGGATGAATCTGGAAACCATTGTTCTCAGCAAACTGACACAAGAACAGAAAATCAAACACCACATGTTCTCACTCATAGGCGGGTGTTGAACAATGAGAACACATGGACACAGGGAGGGGAGCATCACACACTGGGGTCTGTTGCCGGGGACTAGGGGAGGGACAGCGGGTGGTAGGGATTTGGGGAGGAATAACATGGGGAGAAATGCCAGATATAGGTGATGGGGATGGAGGCGGCAAACCACATTGCCACGTGTGTACCTATGCAACAATTCTGCATGTTCTTCACATGAACCCAAGAACCTAAAGTGCAATAGAATATATATATATATATAATATATATATATATATTATATATATATATACACTTTTAAAAAGATTATTACTATATGGTTTTAATTTACTGTTTTGTTTGACTCTGCTACATTTCAGCTCCTTTATAGGTATCTTTTATCTCCTACCTGTCCTTGGTAATTTTCAGTAGCTGGATGGATAAATGACAACAAACCATATGAAGGAATTCTCATGAATTTCTTCCAGTTATATTTTTACTGAAACACTCGTAATCTGTCTAGGAGATTTTTTAGGTGAATTAACAGAAGCAGGAGAAGTGTATTAAACCTTCTTAGAATCCCAAACAAAGTAATTTCTTCCATCAGGTATAACCTTCCTGCAGCCTTCCCTAAACTAGGTTGAAGCACCACAGTCCTAAACACTCCTCAAAACTTGGGGCTTGCTTCTTTAACACCTATTAAGTGTACACCATTTATTTATCTGCTATTCTATTAGACTGTATACATCCTGAAGGCAACATACGTCTTTCTCCGTACTTTCAGTGCTGAGCACATTACGGTAGGGTTCAACAAAGTTTACAGGATGAATGAAATAAGGACACATAAGCCCAGCGCGGTGGCGCATGCCTCTAATCCCGGCACTTTGGGAGGCCTAGGCGGATGGCTTGGCTTGAGCTCAGGAGTTTGAGACAGGCTGGGCAACACGGTGAAACCCTGCCTCTTCCAAAAACAAAAATTAGCTGGGCATCGTGGCACATGCTTGTGGTCCCTGGTACTCAGGAGGCTGAGACAGGAGACTCGCTTGAGCCCGGGAGGGGGAGGTTGCAGTGAGCCGGGATCGCAACACTGCACTACTCCAGCCTGGGCGAGAGTGAGACCCTGTCTCGGAAAAAAAAAAAAAAAGGAAACGGGCCACTTATGTCTCAAAAGACCATTTATATGGCCCTCCAAGAGAACTGGGAGTTCCTAAACGAACTTTTAAAAACTTGCCGGCCGGGCACTGTGGCTCACGCCTGTAATCCCAACACTTTGGGAGGCCGAGGCGGGTGGATCACGAGGTCAAGAGATCGAGACCATCCTGGTCCAAATGGTGAAACCCCGTCTCTACTAAAAATACAAAAAAGTAGCTGGGCATGGTGGCACGTGCCTGTAATCCCAGCTACTCGGGAGGCTGAGGCAGGAGAATTGCCTGAACCCAGGAGGCGGAGGTTGCCGTGAGCCGAGATCGCGCCATTGCACTCCAGCCTGGGTAAGGAGAGCGAAACTCCGTCTCAAAAAGAAAAAAAAAACTTGCCTTGAGATAGGATCAGAAAGGCAGCCTACTTGACTTTCTTCCCAGTTTAATGCGCGGCTACTAACAGTACCCAAGATTCTCTCCTTCCAGACAAGGAACCCGGAGAAAAACACCGAAGCCCCACCCTGTTACCGTCCCACCTGCTCCGCAAAAAGCGCACTCAGCCTGACAGCCGCAACGCGGCCAGCCGGGAGGCCCAGGCCCGCCCACCAAGCAGGTGTCGCGAGACTGGGATTGGCTCTCTGAACGACGTCATTCCGAAGAAGACGCTTCCGCCCCTTTCAAGATGGCGCTGCACTCAGTGCGGAAAGCGCGTGGGTGCTGGAGCCTCATCCGGGCACTTCACAAAGGATCCGCAGCTGCTCCCACTCCCCAGGTAACGAAGGCTGGCCCTTCCCTCGGCGGCTTCCCGTCCCGCGAGATTCTTCTCATCCCATTGCCTTCTATTTATTTTTCTCCTCCCGCTTCTTAGGGAAGCGACTTGCGTTCTCTCCCCTGAGGTCTACTCGCCTATGACTGCCCTCCAACTCAGAGCGTAGTGACGTTGCAAGGATACGTGATGACGTAAAGCTCCCTTGGGGAAAAGAGCGCGCCGGTCCCTGACCGCTTGTCCCCGCTTCCAGTCGATCGCCGATCGCCGCCGCTGTTGCCGGGCAACGCGGTGAGCCAACCCCGGGCGTGATGTTTTCAGACACCGGGGGTTTTAGAGACTGCCCTTCTTTTCGTGGTCCTGTTGCTGTTTTTACCGTCCTTACCCTAACGGCAAACCAGGGGGCCGTCGGAGAGACGAGAGAAGCCTTGTTAGGCGTTGGGCGGCTCAGGTCGGGGCAGCAGCTGGGCAGTGTGGTACCTGAGCAGGTGTCTGCACCGTCCCTTCTGCTTGCTTCCCGTGGCCCCGCAGCACTGCTGTACCTAGGCGGCTGTGAAGTGATAGCAAGCTGCCCCCGAGTTCGTCCTGTCCTGCGCGTGACAGCATTGCCGTTACCATTAATCTCGGGACCACGTCGCGGCTTGGTCTAATGGTCTTAAATAATTGGCATTTTGCCCTCATGGCAAAAAATGTCGGGGGGAGGGGATACCCTTTCCGTTATTTAGACTTTTACCAAATGTCTTCCAAGTGCAGCCTCGGTAAGCACTTCGACATAACGTGTTCTACAGGAGATAACTCTGGGAACGAGAGAGAAACGAGATACTGTGATTTTATTAGGTAATTTCCTGGCATCTTTTGCGTATTTTGCGTATTCATTGTCACCATAGGGAGGTGTGAGGATGTCACACCTATTGTAACTGGTGTGTTGAAAAGAGCACTAGAGGAAGGTAGTCTAGAGCTCCAGGGTTTGGTCCCCAACTTGATAACTGTGTGACAGGCCACAATCTCTCTGGGTCTTTTTTTTTTTTTTTTTTTTTTGAGACGGAGTTTCGCTCTTGTTGCCCAGGCTGGAGTGCAATGGCGCGATCTCGGCTCACCGCAACCTCCGCCTCCTGGGTTCAGGCAATTCTCCTGCCTCAGCCTCCTGAGTAGCTGGGATTACAGGCACGCAACACCATGCCCAGCTAATTTTTTCTATTTTTAGTAGAGACGGGGTTTCACCATGTTGACCAGGATGGTCTCGATCTCTTGAGCTCGTGATCTACCCGCCTCGGCCTCCCAAAGTGCTGGGATTACAGGCTTGAGCCACCGCGCCCGGCGTTTTTTTTTTTTTTTTTTTTTTTTTGCGCTTATTGGGTGGAGGAAGAGTTGGACTGATTGACATGTTAATGTTCCCTCAAGCTCTGGGAAATCAGTAGTTCCATGTTTATGAAGCCAAAACAAAGACAATGGGAGTAATTATGAAAACCAACATTTAAGTTCAACTTATTTTTCTAATCATGTCATAAATTTTTTGAACTTTCGTTTTTTTTATTGTTGTGAGCCTCACACATTCTTATAAGCCAATACATTAATATATACCAGAAATTTCCTTGTCAACAAACAATTATTCAAATGTTACTTTAAATTTCAGCAGCAAAATTAGATAAGACAATTCAGAATTAGATAAATCCATCAAAAATTCCTCTCCTTGAAATTTGAGGGTTTGATTTTGCAGAATCAGAATTAGTTGATTATTTATAATTAATAACACATTAACATCTATGCTGTCAAAGTAAACCTTAGATCCAAACTTCCCCTTATTCCATACTAAAGAACTGACACTGTCTTGAGAATAGAGAATCGAAGAGAAAAGAAAAACTAGATTCTGCTAATGACTGCCTGCGCAGGGCAGGCACCTTTAAGACACCAAGTCAGTATAAATGCTAAAGAAAAAAAAATTTCTTAAACCTTTACTATTGTTTCAGTGGCATTTATGAATAGAGCTATTTAATTATTAATGTAGATTGTTTCAAGATGTAGAATTTCCAGTACAGATGAATGTTTCTAAACCTTTAATTTAACTTTGAGTAGAATAAGAATTAAATGTGAGAATATTTTTTTTAAGTATAAATCTACATATAATTTTAGTCATTGAAAATGATGGTTTGAAAGATTAATGTGGTGTTTTGAAACATTGAGAAAAGATACAAAATTGTGTTCATAGTGTTATTACAATAGTACGTTTATATATAAATGTTTATATAAACATATACATAAAAAGACTGGAAGGGAACAAACATTTTTAACTTTTTTATTTTGCTTTAGCCTTCCTGAATAGTGGGTTAAAAGTTATTTGTTTCCTTTTATAGCATTCCATATTTTTTCACATGTCTAAATTGAAGACATACACTTTTGTAACCAGAAAAAGTTTTAAAATCATAAATCTTTAAACAAATCTTTAGTCATTAATACCATTTGTGATATTTTAGGTTTCTGAGGAAGGTACTTGTTCCACAGTACTGTTATGAAAATGGCCGTAGAAAAGGACTACTAAAAATTTATGGCCACTTTTCCTCTATGTATCTTCTTTTTCTCTTGAAAAGCTTCCTTTGAAGTCAAAGGGATTTTGTGAACAGATGCAGAAATATGTGAAAGAAGCATTGGATTCTTAAACCAGATGCATTAGACATTTTTATGATCTCTCATAAGCTTTGTAGAAAACAAAAATTATTTTGAAAGAGGATAGCATAATGGGAAAAAATGTGTATTTGTTATATGAATGGTTCTATCAAAAACCAAGAAATTGCGAAGTTACTTTTTATTAGTTTTGGCTGTGAACTTACTTCCTGAGGTGGAAAGCAAAAGTGAATGAGCCATAGCAGTGCTATGTTAGAAACTGTAACTAATAAAGTATTGTGATTCCTAGGTTGTTTGAATGGTTTTTAGTGTTTTCTTTTTTAAAAACAAAATCTTGGGGAAAAAGCTTGGCATAGGGGCCCTTTGCTTACCTCAGATGCAGGCTTTTACCTCTCAAGGCCTGATGTAAACTCAAGTTCAAAATAAAAAATAGAGAGTAACAAGAATAACAGTACATCACTCCGTACTCATTATGGGATGTCTACAATTTATTTGAAAACCGTTTATTTTGCCAGGTGTTGCCTGACAGAAAACTGTTGAAATCTGACAAGATGAGTGTAGTCATAGAGTCAGAGGAATTAAGATCTGACATGTTATGTTTAAATGTTGATGGTATTAGGTAAATTCAAGCCTGTCATCATTGGTCAAACACAGAATCCATACTTCTTTAAGCATTAAGTCATGATTGTATTGTGCAAAGATTGAAATATTGATGGTTAGTAGATATTTGCAAATATATTTGTTATCATTCAGTTGAAGTATGATAAAGTGTCCACATTTTATTGCAGTTGAATATGCTTCATTATTAGCGGTTCCTAGCCTGGGTTTGACCTGTATTCACATAAAGTTCTTGCTCTTAATGATTGCTAAGTATAACCATTAGATGAAGACTTTTTGCCTTCCACAAAATAAGCATGGTTTAAAATTTTTGACCCTGTATTTAGTTCTCACAAGACTTAAATTTTTTAAATTTTAAAATAATTTTAGATGTATAGAGTTGCAAAATTAGTACAGAGAATTTCTGTATACCCTTCACCAACCTTTGTCTTGAATAATTATAATACAGTTATCAAAATCAGAAAAACTAATATTGGTGCAATAGTATTAATTTAGCTAACTTAGTTCAAATTTCACTAGTTTTTTTCACTATCCCTTTTCTTAGTCGGAGATCAAATCCAAGATCCTACATTGCATTTAGCTGTCATGTCTTTTCAAATCTATACACTTTCTGCCTTTCATGACCTTGGCACTTTTGAAGAGAACTGGTCAGTTATTTTGTAGAATGTCTCTCAATTTAGGTTTGTTTGATTTTTCTTTGTGATTAGACTCAGGTTACGGATTTTTGGCAAGAATACCATGAAGAGATGTGGTTCATAACAAGGCCTTAAGGCAGGTATTAGCACCTTATTTCAAACGTGAAGAAATAGACTTTAGTTAAGTAACTTGCCCAATGCCACATGATGGTGGAATTAGGATGGTAAAATTTAATGCAGGCATTTCCTTCCATAATTTGCAATTAGTGTTTGTTATTGTACATTTCGGCAATGTTAATGACATTAAATTGGGATAGTTTTCCCACTGACTTTTAGCTTTTTCCTGCCATCTATTGTCCTTGCAACATGCAGCTTGAGCTAATCAGCGTGGTATGTGTTCAAGAGCTGCAGCAGCCATCTGGGGATTTTGCTAGTTGATTACTCTGCCAATTTGATGAGGTTACTTCATCTCTCCATGGCAAATAAAAGGTGTGTGGATCTACTCTCAAGCTCCTTTTAATCTCAGTTGGTGAGTCTGTTTGTTTAAAGTGCTCTGTGGTTGGTTGCTTTTGTGAACTGACCTACTTTATTATAAATGATAATAATATTTAAATTGTTTGAAAAATAGCTTGAGCAGCTAATGAAAACTACTGATAGTAACTATTGAAAATACAGCGGAAGAATAGTAGCTGAATGCTGAGGATTTGTGCTAGCAGAAACTATGGCAGCCATGGCCTGGAAATTTTGAAGAGAGTGATGCTGCTGACCCCCAAATTCTTTCTCAGTGTATTTTTTGAATGACTGCAAGTTATAGAAAAGTTGTCCTCAGAAGCTGCTAAAAATATATGAATGCACACACACAAATATATATATTTTTTGTATAACTATATTTATACAAATTTGTTTATTAAAGCATCTATTGGCCAAGCACGGTGGCTGACACTTGTAATCCCAGCACTTTGGAGGCCAAAGCAGGTATATTTCTTGAGTTCAGAAGTTCGAGACCAGCCTGGGCAACATAGTGAGTCCTTGTCTCTATAAAAATACAAAAAATTAGCAAGGCTTAGTGGCATATGTCGGTAGTCCCAGCTAGTCAGGAGACTGAGGTAGGAAAATTACCTGAGCTGGAGAAGG